CTTCCCCAGCTCTCCATGGGGATCCAGCCCTCATGTTCCCTTTCTTAATGAGGCCTTTACCAGGAACTATCTATAATTTCAACCCCCCACACCCAGCACTTCAAAGCCTCCTTCCCCACCTTTTTCTCCCTCCCCAGCATGCTGCTATCTAAGTGTTACGTGGATTACAACTATTTATCTTTATTATCTCTCTCTCTCTTATCATCACGTAAACTCCTTGAGGGAGAAGGTTTTCCTCTGGCTTGTTTATTGCTATGGTCTCAGTACCTAGACTGTGTCTGGCTCAGAGCAAGTGCCTAAGAAATCTTTGTGAATGAATGAATTAATCGATCGATGAACTCCGGCATGCTACCAGCTGCAGGTGGAGGGTAGTGCCAAACCTTCCCACCAAGGTCAACCTGGGAGAGAGAAGGGGTGGGATACCACAGGGACAGACTCAGGGCTCTGCCTCAGAATTCACAGAGCAGTGACTCTCCATGCCTGCACCTTGATGTCTTCATCTGTAAAGGTGTAGGAAGGAAGTCGGCATGAAGAACTGTCTGTTCTGCGCCTGGTACTCATTGACTCCTCACAACATCCACGTGAGGGACATTGGCTGCCCATCCGACAGATGAAGAAACTGAGCCTCCGGGGCCACCGTTACTTCCTAGCACACAGCAGAGTCAGGAGTAGGATCCACACTGGTCAGTTTTCAAAACCTAAGCTCTTTATAGTCTGTACGCCAGCTCTCCCTTGAACAGAGAGCTTCTGTCCTTTATCTACGGGCACATAACTTACAATAATACCTCCAGCAGCGGCTGTCAGTTTCCAATGAGACAAACCAGCACCTAGCACCTCACCAGCCTGCAACCAGCATTGGCAATAAGCACTGGAATCGAAACTCCCCGCATGAGAGCAAAGCTTCACTTTGCTCCCACCTCCCACCATGGGGAGAAGGCAGAGGGGCCAGCTCATTCACCCCTCACCTATCTTCCAAGTCGGGAAAAAGAGGGTGCAAAAAACCTGTAGGGAGTGAGTCCCTCTGTCGCCTCCCTTTACCCTTTGACGTGGACTGGGCTTAGGGCGCTAAGGCCTCAGCTTCCCTCGATAGGTTCACCTGCTCAGCTCTGTGCTGAATCTGCACTTGGACGAGTGGGGAAATGTGAGCTCAGCACGAGACAGCCAGATGGCCCGATAGCAACGTGGCTCATCTGAAATGGCATCTTCGTGGCATCTGCACGTGCGTCTCACAGACCTCTCAGGGCTGCGAGATGAGGCTCATTAGCAGCTCTGCTCCCCGAGGGCAGAGATGACACTCCCTGCGTCCCTACGTCCCTGCACCTGCTGAGAAGCCACTTTGTGCCAATTCCTAGGAGCCTCCCCATCCGGAAATTCTACCCAGATACTCTGCTTCTCTGCTTCTCGCTGCCACAGCAGAATGCTGCTCTGACTCCGAGTCAGGAGCCACTAAAGGAAATCCTCTCAGGGGCTAACGGGCCGTCGTGTGCTGTTTATAAAGTTAGTATGATTATCAGATTGCACACGATAAATGAGAAGTCTTTGAAAGATCATTTCGAATTTATCCACTTATTTAAAAAGCAAGTAAACCATCCATTTTTAGTAACACTAAGACACTCTAATCCCCTGCTAGCGGTGAAAGAAGCATTAACTAAGTCTTATCCCAAAGGCCTGAATTTAGAGTCATTTATTCTTATTTTGTTTGTACTATTAAAAGGAAGCAGTGATCACCAAGACCTGGCAAGGGGGCAGCAGGAACAGCGAGAGAGTGCACCTGTGTGTCTGTGTGGTGCGTGTGTATATGTGTGCATGCATGTGTGTGTCCATGTGTGTGTCCGCATGTGTGCATGAGCACACACACTCGCGTGTGTATACAATAGCATATTAGTCAACAATCAACTTAACAAAAGTCAAAGGAATCACTTAGCAGCTACAAAGCTGGTGCTGCCTTAGGCCACCATAACTGCTCAAGATCAAGGTGTCTGTGTGGTACGTGTGTATATGTGTGCATGCATGTGTGTGTCCATGTGTGTGTCCGCATGTGTGCATGAGCACACACACTCGCGTGTGTATACAATAGCATATTAGTCAACAATCAACTTAACAAAAGTCAAAGGAATCACTTAGCTGCTACAAAGCTGGTGCCGCCTTAGGCTGCCATAACTGCTCAAAATCAAGGGGTCCTCGGGTGACTTGTCACCACCCTGGGAAAATGCCTCCCACTACGTGCAACCCATCACCCTCTCCTTTTCACCGACACCACCTGAGGTTCCTGTTCTCATCGTAACCGACCATGTTGAGAAACAGCCAGAGAGATGAGGGCGGGCTGGAACGTGTTCCCCACATCTAACCGCGTCGGAGAGCAAGCGGTCCCTCGGCACGGCAGAGAACGCTTCTCCTCTCACCGAAACTGGGCCGATGCATCCGTTTAAAGACACAACACACCTGTTATATTGTCATAGCTCCGGAAATTCATTTCGATGTGGTCCCACTCCAGGACCATACAGTTCTCCATGCTGGGCTGAGCGATGGCCACATACACGTCATTCTTGGAGTTGAACGTATCCACCGAAACCGACTGGTAGGGCAAGGTCTGATGAACCACAAAATCTGGGAGTGGGTGTTGAAAAAAGAAAAACACCTCATGAGATCCTCTGTGGGAATTATTAGCCACCATCACCCTTCCATCTTTTCTATTACCGGCTCTAACGAGTACGGGGAGGAGGGAGGACAGGGGAGAAGCAACGCGAACATCGTAGCGTGTCTGAGTTTGGGAGACCCCAGCCGGCTCTGGCTTGCACAGGACGACTGCACTGAACACGCAGCTTCCAACACAGCGTCTTTGAGATAAAGAGCTCACAAGTTCGGCTAAAGGATCTCCACGTTTTAAACAAATTTGGGGAGACTTGGCTTTCGAAAAGACAAGACGAGACAGAAAGAACGCCACAGAGCAACGTTCCTGAAACTATCATGAAAATATCTCTGAGGAGAAGGGCTGCCGTGGGAAAATTCGTTTGGGAAACGCCGGTTTTCGAGCCCTCTCCGAAGGGCTCGGGCAGTAAAGAAGCCTGTTCGGTTTTGTTTGCTGTGGTGCTTCTCATGCTTATCTGAGAATGCGATCCTTTCATCACCTGTCAGCACACTCCCCAGCTCTGCATGACCTAGGTGGGGAAATTGCCACGGTAGGTTCAGAAGGAAGCCAACTCCCCAAACGGCACGCTGCACGTTTGGAAACGAAACCGAACCCTCCGATTCGGTCCCGGAGGTTTATAAAGCCCACCGTGCGGGGAAGTTAACCTGAGTATGCTTGCGGGTTACTGGACGCGGTGCAGTGTACGGAACGGCTACGCCCGGGGTCCGGGCAGCGCTCTGCAACTCGGCGGGCACTTACGGGAGAGCTATTGGATTCTCAAGCAGCATGGAGCCCATCTGATTTGAGCATGTGTTCTGCTCCTACGTTTAATGGTAAGTCAATACTCCTCGCCCACATCGCTCCCCCGAGCTACGACTGACTCACTATAATAAATCTTGGTAGAGAATGCGCAATTTTACCAAGTTACAGGGCGAGGATGCTCTCGGATGCAAGAATGGTTATAGCGTGTGGGGTAGCAGGAGAACCAATGAAGAAAGAAAAGAAAATGCTAATAACGTTTAAGGAAAGGTATGTTTTTGGACAGAGACCCTTCAATGTGCTCTGCTTCTTGGCAGGCTAAACGTGCCCAGCCAGGGTAGAGCGACGGTGGACGTCTAGCAAAGGAAAGTTGTTCCTATGAGAAAATCCTGGCTTTGCCCATCTCTTCTCCATCCAGGCCTCGGTGGTCACCCCTCAAGTCCCACCTCACCGGCCCAACTCACAGGACCCTCCCTGACACGCTGGACCATAACAGAGCACTGTTGTTTGTCTCTTAATAGTCACAACACCCGAATCTCCAAAAACAGAGTCAGATTTGGAGAAATGAGAGAGATCCTCGAGCTTCGAGTCATTTTACGGAGCCGGAAGCTGAAGGCCAGCGAAAGTGCGTGTCTGGCCATGGCCACACAGCCAGAGTGGTGTGTCCTGAACAAAGCGAGTGCTTCCTAAGGCCTGGCCTACGTCTCATATTCCCAGAGTCCCCATAACACAAACCCACAGCAGTCACTCAAGAAAAAACTCTGACTCAGCAGCCTCATAAAGCTGTCACATGAGAAAGGCAATAAAGGGGCAGGTCACTCGGCCGTGGGCAATGAGTGACAGAGCAAAAGGAATGGAGGCGGGACAGGAGGCGAGAGCCGCTGAGCAAGCGCTGCGGTGGGAAGAGAGAGGGGCAGGGGCAAGAAAAGCAGGTGACGGGCAGGGGACAGGGGAAGGGGGTAGAGCTGAGGGAGTGAGGACGCCAGAAAGAGCACTGTGCTCGGAGTCAGACTGCCCGAGGCCACTTCCTGTACTTGAGACCCTGAGCTGTGCACTTCCCCTTACGAGGCCTCAGTTTACTTATCCACAGTATGGGGGCAATGACACCTCCCAAGCCTAATGGCAGGGACACATTGTGTCATGCTGACGGAAAGGCTTAGCACATAGTAGGTGCTTGATAAATACGGACTTGAGGTCTGAGAAAGGACAGTCCACTTCCTCTGCTCTGGCCACCACTGGGCTGTCACTTAGGGGGGAGGGGTTGTCCATGTTAATGGCATCTAAGATAAGATACCAGAGCTGTGACTCCACCTTCTTGCTAGTGACCTTGGAGAAGTTACTTAACCTCTCTCTGCCTCAGTTTCCTCATTGTATGTTACGATTCATACTCACTTAAAACTGTACCTAGTGCAAAGTTAGCGCTCCACACGTTAACTTTCAGAGTAGTCCCTCCCTGTGTACAGCAGGTGCTTCATAAATGCTTGCTGGCTTAATGAGTGTGGGAGGGCTGAATGAATGATGCTTGCAGGTACAGGGAAAAGGGGGAGAAGCGAAAAGGAGGCTGCCTCTGTACCCCGACAACAGTAAGGAGTGGCCAAGGGACAGTGAGGACAGGTGGGGATAGTAGGCAAGGTACCCTCTCCCGTACCCTGCAGGGAGTGGACCATCCAGAAGGTGAAACAGACTAGGCTTCGGGTTCTCGCCTGCACTTGTAGCTCCACGGGCAAAACACTTGAGCCTCAGTGTCCTCCTGAGTAAAATGGAGGTGACAACTATTTCATAAGACTGGGCACGTAAGTGTTAGCATAGACCTGGTCTATGGTAATCCCCCCCGCAGTTATATGTGCAACTATGCAGTTACACGATTAGATACAGTGACAATGATAGTATTGTGCTGCCTGCGTGAAGACTTGGGGGAGAGTCACAACAGCTTCCTGGCCCCGCCCCTCTACTAACACCCCCAAAATACCGGCGTTGATCAGTCAAAGACCGAGAGAAAAAAACTCAACCTCGGTTCTTTCCGGTCGGCACTGGCAGACCAGCGTAGAAGCCAGAAAGCGCTGGCTGACGACACAAGGCTCCGAGGGCTCTGTGTCCACGTGTA